CAACAGATATTTATTCAACACCTGTTTCATGCCAGGCAAGGTTGAACTGGGAATACAATAATGAACACCAGAGACAAAACCCCTGTTATTTTGGAACATATACTGAAAACGAGAGATTAAACACTTACAAAAGAATAATAATGAATATTGTATTCACAAATAAAAGCTGTAAAAGATGTAATTACTTCGTTTAAACTAGACCAATATGAAAATAATTAGAACTAAAATCGATTCAAATTTGTAAATTTACTTGTTGTTTATTATTGCACAGAAAGCCCTGAGAGTGGCTTCCCCATCCTGACATCACTCACCGTGTAACACCTGTGGGAAGGGTCCAAAAGAACATCTTACCTTTGTCTGTAATTAAGTATTAAGAGATGGGGCAACACACAGCTTATTAATCTTGTGTCCTAACCTGTGCTCATGTCAGTGTTTAAGGTTTTACTCTCTTGATGCAGACATGAAACTATGGTACATATTCTGTTGTCTCCATCATATCAGCTTTTGAAGGATTCAGCTCCCATTTAGTTATGATCCATGAAGTTTTTCTGATAATCAAGTATCCTTAAGTATAAAAGAAGCAAAACTGTAGCTTTGTGAGGCTCAAATCACGTCTAATTCAAATAACAACATCCAGCAATAGTTCTGAAAAACACTGTGTAATTCACTTATTATACATTGTGCCTGAATGACCATCAGCTGTGAATTACCTTCATCTGTTATGCAGCCGAGAAGTTGTCAATCATTTGTAAACTATCACCTCTGACTTCAACAGCTCTGTTTATTTTTTTAATGCAACTATTTCTTCTAGGTTTTGATCTTACATATTCCTAAATCTATACCACAAGGAAAACTCCTAATTTATCCAAAGCTGGAAACATTGTAGTAAAACAGAAGAACGTCAAAGAAAATATCTCAATAGCAACCAGAGAGAAATGAATGGCAATTAAATAAAAAGCAAATTTAAGAGCAAACAAAGCAATTTAGAAGATAGTGAAATAAGATCATTAAAAATACTAAGAGGAAACAATTGTTAATGAAGAATTGTGCACCCATTCAGGAAGAATGGTGAAATGAATATCTTTTTGGACAAGTAAGAACTGAGTTTTCACCCTAAGATACTTGCACTAACAGACTTTCAAAATGGAATGCTTTGGGGCGGTGCTTCTCAAATTTTAATGTGTATACAAATCACCCGGGGATTTTATTAAATGCAGAAACGATTCAGCAGATCTAAAGAAGCCTGAGAATCTGCACTTCTCATAACTGCCCGGGTGATGCCATCTCTGGTGGTTTCAGACCAGGAGCGGGGAAGAAAGCAGAAAAGCAATCCTAGCTAAAAGATGAGAGACGAACTAGAGAGCAGAAACGTAGGTAAGCAGGTAGTTAAATCTACACAAATATCTGTACAACAAAAGTACTGCTACTTCAGAGCACTAAGAACAGGATAAAACAAAGAAACAAAAAATGGTGTGACTGAAGAATTGTGCTGTACACCAGAAAATGACACAACATTGTAAATCGACTATGCCTCAAAAAAAACCTGGAAAAAATAGCATTTAGGTTAGGAAGGTAATGACCAAAGTCAAAGAGTTCAAAGGTCCTTATATGTTTGGAGGGAAGATACCAACTTTGATCTTGCTAAGAATGCTTCAAGGGTGACCACTAAAAGAACAGAAATATAACATGCAATTTCCAAGCTAGTAGAGGGGAGAAAAGGGACTGTGATAACATATAACAATGATTTTTAAAAACTTATAAAAAGCCAAAAGGCCATAAAGAAGGGGGGAAAAAAACAGGAAACAGGAGAAAGAAAAAATAGAAAGTAGAAACAAGTAGGAATGTTAGTAACTTAATAAATGTAAAGGGACTGAACTAGCCTGTTAAAAGTAATGGCTGAAAAAGAGAAATAAAACCCAAATATAAACTATTTATGAGACATACCTAAAACATAAGGATATGGAAAGGCTTAAAGTGATAGAAAAAACAGAAGACATCCGTGTCGGTAGCCTGGTTGTGATATACTACAGTTTAGTAAAATATTACTGTTGGGAGAAACTGAACAAAACGAACAAGAGATTCCTCTGTATTATTTCTCACAACTGCAAATGAATGTACAATTACCTCAATAAAATTTCAGCTAGAAAAAGATAAACCAGGCAAATATCAATTACAAGACAACTGTGAGAAAATCTCAAACGTTAGCGTGCATCAGAATCACCTGGAGAGTTTGCCAAAAAAGATTGCAGGGTCCCATCCCCGGTGTTCCTAACTCAGTCAGTCACGAGTCAGACCCAAGAACTGGTATGTCTAGCCGATTCCCAGGCAGTGTTGATGCTGCTGGTCGGAAGGCCACACTTTGAGAAGCACCTGGTACAAGTTGATGTAATGAACCTTAAAGTACTATCACCCACTTTGGCAATCTTGTTTAAGATCTCTCTGCAATTTTTCTCTAAGGGAGTAAGAGGAACCGGTGTATTTTAAAGCAAAGTCTGACAGCAAATCATTTCACCTGTAAACACTGTTTTAAAAGCTTTAAACAAAGTAATTAATAACCTTGATTTTATTACAGAAAAATAGAAACCTGATCCAGTAATTTGAGAACACTTATTTGTCTCAAGCGCTGACCGAACATTTACAAAAATTGACATGGAACACTTCTAAAATTGACCACTGTTCAGTCAGTAAAGCAAGTTTCAGCATATTTCAAACAATTGGTATTATATGGAATATTTCCTCTGACCAAATGCAGCTAAATTAGAAATCAACAGTAAAAATTTTATCTATTTACTCTTCTGTCTTACATAAGTAGATAGGTAAATCAATTTTAATCCCCCGAGATCTCAGTATTTGAAAATGAACTTCTAAATAACTTTTCTTTTCCAGCAATAACTTAGAAAATGTTATTGGAACTTTGGAAATGTATGAACAGCTAGCCATCTGTGCTGCATAGATGTACTGAATTGCAGAGTAAAATGTACTTATTTCTTGGGCTGCAGTGAAAAAAGGCATGAAAGCTATTGGCTTAGAAAAACTCTTCCAGGTGCATAGTAGGAGACAGTTTCAAGGAAGTGCATAGCAGCATTGTTAGTAATAGAAAAAAACTGAAGACAAACCAAATATCCATGGACAGATGAATGTATGCGTAATATTAACACAATGAGATATCATGTAACAGTGAAAATAAATGAACTACAGCTCCGGACAAGAATGTAGATGATCCTTAGAAACATAATACCGAGTTGCAAAAGCCACTTGCAGAAAGCCTCATGAGATATGATACTATGTTTAGGAAGTTCTAAGGAGAACTGAATAATACATTGTTTAGGAAAATATACATACCCAACAAAACTATTAAATAGGTATGAAAATAGTGTCTACAGTCAGGTTAGTGTTTTTTCCCTCTGCTGGGAGAGGGAGGGGAACAGGATAGGAAGGGAGGGGAACAGGATAGGAAGGGAGTGACCAGGGTATGTGCAAAGGAATCGGTAATGCGTGGGATCAGGTAAAGTTCTGGGCTGTTTCATTGTTCAGTCTCATTACACACAGACACTTTTTTGGAGCATATATTACATGCTAAAAACGTGTTTAAAAGAAAAACTGATTTAGTAAATAAGAAGTAATAGTATTAAAATTCTATTTTTAGGGAGCAAAGATCCTCAGTGAATTTTTATTCTACATCAGAGAAAATCCCTAAGGCGTCAAGGACTGGGATCCTTGAGCCTTTGGGCTTTCCCGTTGTCCTTCCCCAGGAGAACGACCGTGACTCTCAGTCATTCAGAGCCTGGGAAATATAAACAGGTCCCATCCTGGACCATGTAAACAAGTTGGCATAGTTTCTGTTGACCAAGGCTTCTTTTCTCCCACCCCCAAAGAATTGCTTCAAATCTGCATGCCTCTCATTATTTCCAGTTTTCTGATGCTTAGCGTGGGAAAAGAATGTTTTAAAGTCTATAGGGAAAGTCTCTCTGCTTCCCTCCAGCCATGCAGCCTTCTTTATTTTTTTAATCTGATTACAGAAACATTAGACGTTAATTGTATAAAATATGATTACAGAGATTAAGGTCACTTGTAATCTCATCACTGAATGATAATCACTGTTGACTTTTTTAGTCTGTTTCCTTTCTGTCTCATTTCTGAGTATCTGAATACCTATAGTTTATTTGTTTACTTATAAAAATAGGATCATAGTTACTGATACATATAAAACCATGAAATTGAACTAAGGGAGTGAGGATAGATGAAAAAAAGAAGATGCTCAAAGACTGAGTCTTAGCCAGGGCGCGATTAGAGAAGTTAAATAGAAGAGGAACTAACAAAGAGACGAGAAAGGCAGCCGGTGTAGTGGCAGGGAAGCCAGGAGAGTGTGGTGTCCGGGAAACCAAGAGAAAAAAAACGTGTTTCAACAGCACCGAGTCAATTGCTATTAATGGGTCAAGAGAAATGACCGTCGGACTTAGCAAAATGGAAATCATTGGTGACCATGAGCTGTTTCCACGGAGCAGGGTAGCCAAAAGCCTGACTGGAGTGGGTCCAAGAAAAAATTAGAGGAAAGAAAGTGGAATCAGAGAAACAGACACATCTTTGAAGTTTTGCTGTAAAGGAAAGGTGAAAAGTGCCCCCACTGTGGTTGTAAGAAAGTGTGTTTGTTTTTAAAGCAAGATAAATGACCTCATGTTTGGATACTAATGGGAAAGACCCATCAAAGAGGGGAAGCGGAGGGTGCAGGGGAGAAGGGGGACGCTTATTGGGGCGGCACCCCGGAGGAAGGTGCCGGCGTGGAAGAGCCAGCCCCCGATGGGCTCATGGGCAGTTCACCCACTGTTCCTGGAGAAGAGGCAGGGTGTCTGTACACAAAAGTGTGTGGATGGTAGATATACTGGGAATTTGTGGACATTGTTTTCTGATTGTGCTTGTAATTCCTCAGTGAAATAAGAAGAAATGTCATCTGAGAGTGAGGGTGGTGACAGTACTGGCAGCTTAAGAAGCTAAGAGAACGCTTGCTTCAACAGCACATATGCTAAAATTGGAAGGATACAGAGAAGATTAGCATGGCCCTGTGCAAGGGTGATATGCAAATTCGTGAAGGATTCCATATAAAAAAAAGAAGAAGGAAAAGAAACTAAGAGAAAGTATGAAACAGTTTTCCAGGAGAGTGAAAAAATAAATTTACTAGAAAATATAGTATGATTTCCAGGTATCACCAATGGCCTACCTGCATTTCCTAGTCACAGATTTGAAATGAGAGCAGTCAGCACTGTTGTGCAGATTGCCCCAAACACACTGAGCCACCTGGACGTAGACACTGAGCAGGCAGAGATACAACTGAGGTCAAAACTCAGATTTTGTTCAAGTAAACAGTATTTTTTCTATGACTTTACAACTTCATTCTTCCTCAGATTATTTCTTTCATGGAAAACAGGATGAAACATATTTCTACCAATCCAAAATTTTATCAATCTCTTACTCAGTGCTGGCCTCCTCATCTTGGTCTTTCAGTTTCACGGTCATCAATTTCATTGTCTACCCGGTGATCCTGACCCTTCAGTTTGAGCCCTGAGTTAGTCATCCAAGCTGTTACCAACGGTTTTCACACATGGTTGCATCTCTCCTTCTTTACCAGCCCCCTTTTGGCTTTTTGCATTGGTAAATTCTTGAGTACCCCGAGGATCACAACTTTCCCTGCTTAATCTTGTACACAGACTGTTTTTCCCTACCCTTGAGCAGGAATCTGGAAAACACATGACCCCTGATGGGACGTACTTAGTTCCTTACTCAGATCAAACTTTTTCAGAAGTAGTTTGTCCAAACAATGACATAATCTCCAATAAATATCCACTCTTACAATAATCTTCTTGCTCCCTCTTTGGAGACGCTTTTTTTTTTTTTAACCAGGAAAAGGTTTTATTGAGTTTTAATTAGGAAATATAAATAGACCCCACTGTTTTATGCACTTGGATTTAAATCAGAGGAAGCTTATTATGAGTCAGATCTGATAAAACTGGAGTTCCAGAAAGGTGAAATTTAATGGAAACACGGACAATAGATGCAGGTAGAAAATTCTGATGATAGATTAGAAAGTTACCCATGGTGTAAGAAATTAAGTGAGGCAAAATTGTGTTTAATTGGCCATACTTAATCAGACAGGCATTGAAGGCCACACTGGTACTATGCCTGTCAGGTATCCCTTTGTTCGGATGGCCTTCAAAGCACAGTAATGCCTTGATTTTTGAGTAATTTTAAGTAACTGTAAAGTGAGTGGTTTTGGAGTCATTTGACAAGTTGAATTTTTAAAATCTGAATCATTAATATGAGCATTATCTAAACAAATGCTGCTTAGGTAACCGCTTCGTTGCCCAGATGCAGTAATCAGTTTACCTGAGTTTTAATTAATAGCTGGGTGCCCTTCGGGACTCTGAAACAGCAACTTTGGACTCTGATTCCAATCGCGATGTTGTATCTGTGGTTTTGGAAACACACAGCGGTCAGTACGCGACATAAACCAGGAAAGAGTCCATCCTCGGAATCCTTAGGGGTTGGAGGAGATTTTTGTTCCCATGCATTTTGTTGCCCCTTGACTTTTTGTCCAGAGCCACTAAGGAATGGGCGGCTGACAGGGCCATCTTCCTGCAAGGACAGTGACACAGCGTCATTCAGTCCCCAGCCCCCGGGCCAGGAGGAAGGAGGCCCCTTTGACTGCTCCTCCCAGCAAATTCCAGAGGACCAGAGGAAGGGGTGTGGTCGAGCAACAGCTCGGGGTGGAAGAGAACCCTCAGCAACCGCGAGTGGCGGTTCCGGCGGAGGCAGGCCCGGCTCTGCGCGATCGCCGGGGTCGGATACTGGTTGAGGGTCTTCTTGGGTCACGTGAGCTGCTGAGAGGATCCGATTTTCCTTAGAACTTCTCTTGCTGTCTTTTCCTCTTTCCACTGTCTCAGCTGGATTTTCTAAACCTCCTGTGTCTATCCACGCCCAAGGTATACCCCCTGTATCAGCCTGTGATCTCCAGAGAAACAGAACCGATGGAACACATGCGCACGCGAGCGCGCACACAGTTCCTGTATTTTAGGAATTGGCTCATGTAATTGTGGGGACTGGCTAATGTGAAATCTTGCAGGGCGGACTGGCAGGCGGGAAGCTCCACCAGGAGTTGGCGGTGCAGTCCTGAGTCCAAAATTTGCAGGGCAGACTGGCAGACTGAAAACTCAAGTAGGATTTTATGCTGCATATTTGAGGCAGAATTTCTTCTCCAAGAAGCCTCAGTTTTTGCTCTTAATTGCTTCAGCTGCTAAGATGAGGCCTACCTACTCACATTATTAAGGTCATCTCCTTTACTGAAAGCCAACTGATTATCGGTGTTAACCACATCTACAAAGCACCATCGCAGCAACACCTACACTAACGTTTGATCAAGTGGCTACTGCAGCCTAGCCAGTTGACACGTAAGGCAAACCATCAAATCCCCACATAAAAAATCATTGCAGAAGACCTGTACTTCATTGGGCATTTACTATGTGCCAAGTATAATGCTGGGTACTTCACATGAACTACATTTTTGAACACCCACAACAGCCTCATGAGGTAAATACATTTTACAGATGAAGAAACTGAGGCTTAGAGCAGTTACATCATTTGCTTTAAGTCACACAGCGAGTAAGCCACTGAGCCAGGACTCAGACCCGAGCTTGTCCAGCTCCTGACAAGTCCACTTTGAGGGAATCTGGCCTCGAACAGCTGTCCTGTGCTTGTTTGGTCCCCATGTCTCTAGTGAGATCACGGAAACCACCTCAGAGCCGAAAGCGGCCGGCACGCTGGCCGTGTGAGCCTCGCTTCCAGCTCTCGGCCTCCAAGACCAGAGGACTTTCCAGAGAAATTCACCCCGATAAACGCCAACAGTGTGGTTAAGCTACTTAGGAATGAGAAGCAGGAAGGGAAACCCAGCCACTCACTCTGGTTTCAAAGGCGACACCCACAGACTGAAATTTCCACTCTCCACGCTGGCTGGTCTGACATCGCCCGCATTCATCATCTGCTCCAACGTCAGGATTTTGCAAACAGACTCTCTTAACTACTAACATTTTAATCACTAAATCCTTCAAGTTTGTCTTTGAGACCCACTTCTTCTCAATTTTCTAATGTTTTTCTCCCTTTTTATGACTATCAGAGGTCCATTGCCCCCATGTTTTCCCATTCATAATCTCATTTAAAATCCCTCTTCTTAGGAAAAGAATGTTTAATATAACTTGCTCCAAGCTTATCTTTCCTAGCAGTATTCGTATTTACATTTGAATAAACCCTTTGCTTAAGTGACTATATTTCCAATCATGGAATATTAGCCGACAGCCGAGGAGGCGCGTGGCGGCTACGGGGCCTTCAGGCTGCGGTCTGCTCTGAGCAACCCCTTGTTATCATCCACCTGCCTTGTTTGAATCTCGCCTCAGGAGAAACTCCTTGTGTGCTCAGGTACACCGACACCTTCCCCATATCCATTTCAAGAGATAAACCTGAAAACCAAGCAGATTATGAAACAGCAGCATAGAAATAGGGTTATATGTATTTCCATTAATATTTCCACCGATTCTGCTAACAAGAATGAACATAGAATATTTAATTCTCACAGTAACTCTGGGAGGTAGGTACCACTATTATTGCCATTTCTCAGATAAAGAATTCGGGGCTCAGAGAGACAGTAAGCTGTGGAGCCAGGTGGAAACCCAGCAGCCGCCCACCCTCAAACCCGGGTACGGCTTGGCATTCACTGCAGGGAAACAAGGCGCAGAGGAACAGAGCGTGGGGGCAACAAGAGTCAGCTCCGAGGAGCCTTACCAGAGTTGATTCCTAGGTCTTAAGCCCCAAAATCCCAGTCTTAAACTCCATTTTCTGATACTTAATGGCTTAAAAATGAGATCTATCTTTGCAAAATTTTGGAGACGGAATTTTTGGAAACACAACCACTAGATTCTTTAAGGTAATACAAAAATGTCAATTCTTCTTACATGGGCTTTAGATTTCCGAATTACAAGGTTAGGCAGTAATTACCCTTCCTTCTAACATGAACTGCCAGGCCTGATGATTTGTGTTGGACAGTACTCTCCCTTCCCCAACAAATTCTCTTTGAGGATTATTTCAGATTCAGGTGGGGAATCCCTCTGTCCCTGAGATCTGTAAAATCCGATGTCCTAATCAGGGTTTCTGTTCATTCCCAGTGGCTTCTGATTTCGTGGCCGGCTCTGCCCTTGGCTCACATTTTGGGGCTTGCTGTGTTTGTTCCTCTTTCGTTCATGCCTTACCAGAACTCAGCGCCACATGAGTTTTCATGAGAAATTCACCTCCACCACGTTTTGTGGATTTTAGTAGACGTCACTGAAGCTGTGTGGGATCGTTGACTCCAGGTCAGCTCATGGAAAGCCAAGCCCACGGCTTCACCCTCCTCTCCCTCCTTCCCCCTCCCTCTCACCCACCCTTCCTTCCAGAAACAAAGCAAATTCTTCACCTGGCTTTCTGCACAGCAATTTAGCAAACTTGATGCTTGAACATGACCTTGAGATCTCACCCTTCAAACCAGGACTTTATCCAAGTATTGTCTCCAGCAAATACTGAACTGTCCCTGAGAGGGATTCTGGTAGGGAAAAATTAAAGTACGCTATTACAGAGAAAAAACTTACTCTGTTATTTTGTTCTGGGGAAAAGGACTTATTTTATGATTCTTTAACAAATGTTTCAAGTAATGGTAACAGCAAAATTTAAAAAATCTTCTATCTAAAAAGTCATAGTAATTTTATCCTTTTGGCAGATGAAAAATTATTCTTAATTGTGTGATTTTTAAAGCAAAGAGCTGTTTAAGCCTTTTTTTTTCTTTTTTTTCTTGGATTGGTATGACACCATCTTTTGATGATTACTTCCATGATTAACTGGCCAAAGTACACACAGTGAACTAAAGGCAAAGAAGTTAAATCTACACCTGAGGTGCCCATTATAATGCTGATCAGAACCTGCTATTCTAATGTAAGCATTACAACTACAGTGGTTGTATGAGACTTAAAGTTGGGCAAAGTTCAAAGGTTCTCAATTGTACCCACTTATAAACTTAAGATAAGACTGTAAC